AAAAAATATATATATATATATATTCTACTTCTCTACGTAGTTTACCAAAAACTACATTATTGATCAACACGAATTTAATTACCATCGATTGTACTATAAATGGCAATGTATTGTCGATTCCTGGTTAATTCTTCGTACATTTTCTCCAACAACTCGAATTGTCAATATTATCGCAAATTATTCCTACAATGTTCCAAACATGATCATAAAATATATATATGCTCGAGTGACAAGCGAATGTTTAATGTCACAATCCCGAGTTTCATCTAACAAACTGTGTCACCACAATTGTCAAGGTAATTCGAAGGAAACAAAAGATACAGATGTAAAGAAATTTAAAACTCAACTGGCACGAGCTCGCGAGTATCGAACCAAGCATTGGCCACCTCGATCTAACAAACTGCAATAAAACATCGCGTTTAATTTCGCCTCTCTTCCTCTCCCTCCTTCTTTTTCCATAGCACAGCGCATAACCTCGCTGTTATTCTGCTCCAGATACGAGCGATTACGTGGCTCGGTACGGTGTAACGAGCGCGATTTAACGCTTATGCAACTTCTTCTCTTTCTTCTTCTTCTTCTTCTTCTTCTTCTTCCCTCGGAGACCTTACCGCCAAGCAGAAACGAGAGGCAATCGAGCGGCGACAGAAAACTGGCATTTGGGCACAAGGTCAGACTTCCACCGCTGCTGCTCGCTCACCTTTTTTATCATTCTTCCTTCTCGACGTGTACATCTTCTTCTTCTTCTTCTTCTTCTTCTTCTTCTTCTTCTTCTTCCACTTGTTCTTGCGCGTGTGACGCGAGAGACCTCGTCCGAGACCGTTTGTTCTCTGGAACCGGTACGCGGAGGAATGCTCGCCAGGAAGCTATAAAAATACGCAGACCGAGCCGGAGTGGCAAGAAAAGACCACCAGGTCTGGTTCTTCTCCCTCGTGTAGCTCACCAGTGGCGCACCAGTCTCGTCAAAGATCGCATTTGCATAGAAATATGGTCTCGCTATAGTCACTGGTGGTCGTTGGTAGTTTTTCTTAAATTGTCCCCCTCACCCTGCCCCTTTCTGCCTTTTCCTCGTTCTCTTTTTCAGTCCCCGGGTCTTGGCGTGGAACGGGTTCTCGTTTGGCCACCTTGAAACACGTCGCCCCCGTGGCCAATCGCGCTCCTCACGTTCACGCTTCCTCGCGCAGATCGTGGATCGTTGATCCTTCGATGTCTCTCACTTTGGTTTGTAATAATTCGATTCACGCCTAGATAAATAATCCGATCTATCGGAGGAGGTAATCTAACTCGTTAAAAGCAGCTCGGTTTCGTAGAATTACCGTAGAATCCATCGAATCCGACTTTCGATCAGATTTTCCAGACTTTGAATCAATTTCAAACTTCTGTCTGAACACATCTCTGCGCAAGAGATTTAAACCTCGAGCTCGAGTTCTAGCTGAAATTTGTCGGAACGGATTCGACACTGCGTAATTGCAAGTTCAGAGAAAGGAGTGTGCAAGATGAGAGAGAAGAGGGGATATTTTGCACGCGTGTGCGTGACCAGCGTGCAAATGGTGCACGTTGATGGACGTGTGCCACGTGAACCGCATAACGACTGGTGATCATTGTCTGCGTTTCGCCCACATGGCCTTTTGAACGCGTTTCTCCCCCTCCTCCGCCTCCTCCTCCTCCTCGTCAGCCCGTGAGAGAGACGATAACGCGATGACCTCGAGATAAATTGCTCGTCCGCGATGTTCAATGGCATCCCCGAGCGCCTGAACCAACGAAAGAAGAAAGTCTGCGCGTGATGGATACCAATTGGTTGCGTAATGAACTCATTCGAATCGTCAAAGAGGCGAAAAGGACGGTCGCGGCCGGACCACGTTCAACGAACGCGCGCCATTTTCTTCCTTCGAGCCTTTCGTTCACGTTCTTTCGCGCGCTTCTCTCCTCTAATTTCATTTCATTTCATTTCGTTTCGTTAGTCACGAAACGAATGAAACGACAGTTGGACGCGTTGCCTCGTTTAATTGCAACGTGTAGATCCTGTGATCTTCGACAGTCGATTCTTTGTCGTTTCATTCTGACGTAAGAGTCAAGCAGTTTTATGGCTTTTTGCCATTTTTTTTTAACTTGTGAGGTTGACAAACGTGTTTCTCGTGTTTGTCGTTAATTTCCCACATTTTTAAGTTTCATGCTCGTTTTCTTTTTTTCAATCATTCTAAAATTTCAACAATTTACAGAGTCCTCAGTTATATAATTATTATTGTAACACTAGCCATATTAAGATTCGTTTAAATTATAATTTATATATTGCAATGATATTTATGCACGGTAGTGTGTAATTATTATAGTTCTACAATTTTTTTCAATTTTAAATTTTCGTATTTTATAACAACTTCACATATCAAGTTTAACGTGATATTTATAATGATACCCAGAATCAGACAGTATTGCACAGATTCTTCTGCCATTTTTCATCGATTTTCCTCTTATTCATTTTCATATGATTCATTTCGTATGACATTAATGTAGAATGAATATTCGTGTCAATATTCATTGGACGTTAAAGTAGTACAAGTGCTAATAATATAAAATGGTACGTTCAGTTCTCCAATGATGTTCGAATTTGTCTGAATGTTTTCGCTGTACGTACAGCGTGCCGAATCCCATTGAACTCATTGACAGATTATAACGTCGTGAACTCGCAGTTACGTACGGCTATTTCCGGTATCCGTTTGCTAGTTTTGCCTGGAGAAAAACACGCGTGAAAATTTAGACTTTTCCTCTTTTTTTTTTTTTTTTTTTTTACGACCACTATTTTTGCACTTGCACAGGCCAACGCGAGAAGTTTCTGCGTAGAATAATGCTTATTGACGTTATCTGGAACGTGTATCTACACTCGTGTACCTTTCATAAGCGAAACGTAACGTATGTACGTTTCCTCTGGTAGCAATACGCGTTAACAAACGTCTTCTTGTTCGAGCGGCAACCACATACACTTATCCGATAGAAAAAAATCTCGTCTCATCGTCGCGAACAAACGGCTATTAATTAAATTACTCAACTCCGGCTATTTATCATTACCGAGAACTCTAGTTAGCAAACAGTATACACACGTTCCTTCATTCCTCTTAATGAGAAGAATGAGAAAACTGTGTGCGTGGAATAAGAATGAATCCTTTTTTTTTTCTTCCTTTCTTTCTCTCTTTGAGGAAATACAGCGTTCTTTTAATAATTGCAATTAGAGCAATTGAGCAAGTTGGTATAATTGGACAGTGGTTATTTGAAAGTGAATCGTGTTTCACATTTCGAGCAGAATGATAATTTAAGACGTTTTCTCTGTCTAACGATTGATAAACTTCTCACTCTGGATAAATTTATATTTATGTAGGAAGAATTTTCAAACACAATAAACGTAACATATTTTCAACAAGTTTTATAATTATAATTCATATTAGAATTAATGATACACTAGGTTCCAAGAGATTAATTCTTAAAATACATCACTGTGGCTTCCTGTAATTTTAAACTGGCAATTGCTCGTTATTAAATTAAATGTATAATACTCCACTAAATCAAAATTAAAACTTAAGGATTGATCCAAGATATTGCTAATTATCCAACGAAAAATATTTTGACAGAAGTTATAGAAAAAAAGAGAGAGAGAAAAAAAAAGAAGGAGAAGAAAAACACTAAACGAAAATGGCCAAAAGACATTTCGCCTAATAGGTTGAACATCGAAAGGGAAAAGAGGAAATTCGGCAGTGTAACCAATTCTGAAGGTTTCGTTCAGCTCGATTGAGCTCTCTCTCTCTCTCTCTCTCTCTCCTGCCATCGTCGACAGAAAAATCAGCGTTGCGCCAATGACTTCCTATTTCCTCCTACGTGGCTTTATTCGGGTCAGTGACTTAACGAGTGGAATCCAGCCTCGAGACCGTATTCTCGGCACGAAATCGTGTACACAAATAGCCACGGCCGTATAATAATGCGCGAGATATATAGCTTGCTCGGCTATAATTGAAGCGACGTGTTCTGGTAGAAACGCTCGGATCAGACATAAATATTTGATCCTGAAACGGTTGCGCCTGGTTCTACGGCGCGCTGCGAAGCGTACGACAGCTAACCGATTAACAATTCCCCAACGCGTCTCTCACCTGCCTCAATTTTAATTAACCATCTATCCGGACTAATTAATTGAAAACTTCATACACGCTGCATTAAATGCGAATACGGTCCTCGCTTCGGTAAAAGCGCGCAGGCGACATTCGCCCGTCGCGCGTACAAAGGGAGAAACAAAAAGTGAAAATGTCCGGACGTTTATCAATTATGGATGATAATATTGTAATAAGGCGCGATATTACAATGTTACGACTGTATCGACAAAATATATAGAATGAATTTATATTGTGTGTATGTGGGAATTACAAGATTGGTTGGAGCTGAAAAGAAATCTCAGATCGCGTCACAGAAGTCGAATCGCGTCTGTCGAATTTTGGACATTTTTAGTCGTAATTTATATTGAGTCTGTTCGAAAATTCAATCGTTAAATCTCTTAAAGTGATTTTCTGCTTCGATTTATTTATGTATTCTTCCTTTAAATTTGAAGAATCGGTCCATTGTATAAAGATAGGATTTCTTGTAAGTGTCCGGCACATGCGCATTAGATGTCTGCGCATGACGCGCCTCTGATACGAACGTTTGAAAAACATTTGAGAATCGTGTATTACACGCCGATTCCTGTTTCATTTCTCCATCCATCTATGCACGTTAGAATAATTCAACTTACCAGTTTATTAATTCGCTGTTCTTAATCCTAACCGCGTACTATGTTGCCAACAATAGTCTATCACTTTCCAACAAAAGCAAAAATCCAAAAGATCACACGGGGCGAGTTCTCGGCCGGAGTAACGACCTAACCTCTACGCCGCGCAGCCCGCGAAAGGAAAACGAAGCGTCCGCTTCTAATTCGAGAGACCATTAGAAAGATGAGCGCAACTACGAACCCTTTGCGTCGTCACGGATAGAGAACAGAGAGAGAAGAGGGCTAGGTCGAGGCTTTTCACGAGTGGAAGAACGCGCAACGAGATTTGCGTGGCCGAGAGCCATAAAACGCGTCACGCACACGTGATGCACGCGCGCTGCTCCCTGCTCGCGTTGTTCCCGTCTGTGTTCGAGCTTCGTGCTCGCGAGCGTATGTGTTCCTCTCTCCGAGTGGCTGAAGTGGCGAGCCCATTAGCGTGGATCATAAAGGTCCTCAACCCAGTGAGTCACCGCAGGTCAATAATTACTAGCAAGGACCGCGCGCGATGCTCCGTGTTGCTTCCCTCCGCGCGATGCTCGTCTCTCTTCTTCTCGGTGCATTCGCAACGATCCATCACGAAGCGAAGTCGCTTCAATTGCCACGAATGAAAGAACGGTGTCAAGATATTTTTCTCTCGTCGCTCCTCTCGACCTGTTAACTGCGTTCG